AAAAAAAATGATATAGTTTTGTTACTACTAGCAAGAAGAGCTGGCTCCAGATATCTGGTGTTAAAGGGTGTAAATCCTCAGTATTGCAAAGACATAGCAGAGTTACATAGCTGTTCTTCAACATTGCATAATTCCATGTCCAAAGACCATGATTGATTTTGTTCACTGAGCTCAAGGTGCTCAAAGTATATTATCTTCAAGAAAAATTCTTCCTTCTTTTTTTCTATATCCATTACACACCACACAGACTCTCCTCAGAGATAAATATAAAGCCATGACTGGAAAAAAATAATTCAAAATAGGAGATAGTGGTTCTCACGTTATTTTCGTGTAAATAATGGAAAAATGCATGATATCACCAATATGTTCTTAATCATATTTAGATAGTAAAATAGATGACAGTCCAGGAATTTTATTAAGAAACATTAAAGGAGGAGTCAAAATGTACTTGGAATCAGGGAATTTAGTGTACTAGAACTGAAATTTCACCCCAGGGCTAACCATTATGCAAAATGTTACCAAGCAACAGGAACATTCTTTCCTCCCTGAAGTATAAAGGCTAGGAGAATGGAAGTCTATACATTATAGGATCAAAAATCACTCAGCTATAGCTTGTAGGTGTTATGGCCTCTTTTGAGAATTCTTGTATTTTTGAAGTGAGTCACATGTTTTACAAAATGATACTGAATACCCTTGTTTATATGAAATCCATGACTCAAATTTTCCAACTTTTAGAAATTCTTTGTCTGGATTTGGCCTACCTGAAATTTCTGACTTTATTATGTATACTAATACATTATATCCATCTGAAAAATACAGTGTCAAAGGAAGAAACACGTGCTCTTTTGTATGGTCATTAAATTGTTGGCACATATTTTAAAAATGTAAGTTCCATCCAAATTGATGTATTCCAGTCCTGTGTTGCATTCTGTACCTTTACATGTCTTTCTCCAGTGCCCATTATGCTCTTTTTTCATCCCCATCCTTCTCTACCAACCTAATTGGTTATAGTCTCTTTATTCCTTAGATTCTAATCTATACATCACTTATTCCAGGGAAACTCTCCTGACCCTTTTCATACCTAAATTTCCCAGTCTGGGGACAGTGCTCCTCTTTTACATCCTTTTTTTTTTTTTTTTTTTTTTTTTACTTACATTATTGTTACATTACTAATCCAAGATGTGTTTTCTTGGTTCCTGTATGTTTCCACACTCTATGGCACAGCAGGAGAATAGGGATTGAATGAATCTATATCATTCACTTTGATACCTCTAGTTCTTGGCACTGAACTTACACATCTTGAGCTTATGTTAATTATTAACTGTCACAAGAATATTGCTTAACGAACAGCCAAAAACTTAGTGACATGTAATATAAACCTTTATTTATCTTCCAAGTCAGCTGTCCTTCTCACAGAAACTTGAGAGCCCAAGTTTCTACATTTGGAGACTCAGTTCCTTCTACACCAGGGTGACAGTGCTTTTACCAGTACAGTTTCTTCTTAACCTTTAAATGTGTCTAATTGAATCTGCTTATACTATAAAAGCCACACACCCTATTCTTTTAAAGGCATGCCTCTCTTCAGACTGAATCATTGCTACTTTGGGCTAGAAGATCTTTATCCAAATGAGAAAATCTACAAGGTATTGCCTTGACTTTTTTAGAGGTTTTAAGAAAGCATCTAAGGCATCATGCTTAATTTGTTTCTTAATTAAGGCTTGTGGCCATGTTGAGAAAATTTTAAGAACTTTTGCTGGTTCGAGACACTGAAGATTAGAAATACGTTTGTTATCCAACCATGCAAGTTTTATCCCCTCTACATCACCTCTAAATTCAGCTTGCAAAGTGGTCAGTTCTTTTAAATTTTATTTTCCTCTCCTCCTCTTCCTCCTCTTTTTCCTGCTTCATCTCCTTGCTGTTGTTGTGATTGTTCTTTTCTTTCTTGTACTACCTTACACGTAGCTAAAACTAGCCAGCTGATACTTTGAACATTTTGTCATTTTGTTTGGCTATCTTTTGGCTAAATCCAAATGATTATTAGTTCATTTTCTATCTTCTAA